TCTGCCAGGTAAATCTAGGTAAGACTTTAAGGGCAAACAGTTACAGGTTTCATCAAAAGCAAAGAAATCTGCAAAGAAGGGGAAGCCATGGTTGTATTTATACCCAAAAGGAGTAAAGCGAACGAGAAGGTAGAGCCATCTGTCGGCATGCATAGTAACGAAAACTGAAAAATAAATTAATAGAATTTTTAAGGATTTAGGAAGGTATGAATCTGAATTAAAGCCATTACTAAACAAGATTAATCTTTATGAATGCGAAAGCTTCAAGAAAATACAATTCACCAATGAAAAAAGTTTTCTGGATAGTTTTTGCAGATTCAAAAATTGCTTAAATTTTCAAGTTTAAATTATGCTTAAATTTCCAGCTATGATTAGCTATAGAAGATTTGTTAATTTCGTCTTTTTGGATAGAAGATTCGTGTTGCTTGATCCGAAACTTTAACACTCTTTTAGTTTGAATTCTAAAAGAATTAAAATCAAAAATAGAATCTTTAAGAATCGCACCGCATATTTTATTAACTGGCGAGATGTGGACTTACAAATTGAACTTCTGGGGAATCCGTGAAACTTTGTAACTGATAGAATAAAGAAATGGAAGCACGACAAGGTTAATGCTGCTTCTAACAACGGAATGTCTTCTTGGAAAGGCAAGATGAAAACATTTTAAAGGCTTTAGCAATGACCACAGAAGAAAATCCTAGGTCAATAGCAACTGATTTCAAATAATTGAGTTCATTAGCAAGCAAAGGCTTTGAGGAATAAACTTTAAGAGTGCGAAATATAGAATAGTAAAAAGAAGCTACTTTTTGCTTAGCCGGGTGATATGATTCAGCATGGGGAGACAAAAAATAGAAAAGGATGTAGTGTAAATAGTTACTCTTAAATCAGATTCATTGAGAATTATAAGAATATCGAGGAAGGGAAGGGTATTGTCAGATTCAGTTTCAAACGTAGGCAGGATGTATAGATCAGTCGAATTTATGACAGATAAATTCTGGGATAAATCTTCTTTATTACATCAAAAAGCGCGGAAATGTCATTTGCGTAGCAAATCCAGAGATGAAATGATAATTTCTCAAATAATATGACCTCATAATAGTGCATGTAAATCGCAGCAAGTACCGAACTGAGGGGATTACCTACAGCTAATCCTTCAGTTTGGCGATGATATTCATTTCGGAAAACAAAGCAAGTTTGACTCAAAGAGACTTTAATAGAGACAATAACTCTTCAATTTCCGTAGATTTTAATAAGAGGCGTTAACTCTTCAGTTTCCATATGTGTGAAATGGAGTTCTGGAAGACTAGTTTCAAGACATTTTAGTGCTCCTTCGACTAGAACATTAGTAAACAATGGTTTAACATTAAAAAATACTGGAGAATAAAAGAGAAATATTTTTGAGTTCATCTACGACTTCAAAACAGTTTTTTTTTCAGGGTGTATGTTGTTAGAAAGTAAAGGAGAAAATTAAGAAACTAACTATTTGGTCAAAAGATGGGATGCCATTCCTAAGTGAAAAAGGAATTCCAATTTGGTGGACTTAAGGAAGCGCATAAAACCTTGCACAGTTAGCAGTAGGAGAAGTGACTTTGTAAACTGAGTTAAGTGTATATGAGATTGATTTAACAGCTCTCTTGAGGTCAAAAGTTTAAGAATCTTTAAGGATCGAGCAGTACAGACTTTCATTTATCAGTTTCGTGACTCCATCAATGTTTGTGTGGTTTTCCATAACAACGATTAGTCCCCATGCTATGTCATGTCACTTGGCTAAAAAAAATGGCTTCTTTTTAGTATTACATATTTCGCGCTGTCAACGTTTGTTCTTCAGAATCTTAGTTTACAAATGGACTCAATTGAGATCAATTGCATTCACCGAGGATTTTCTCCATTGGTCATTGATAAAACCCTTTACAAGGTGTTCATAGTGCCCTCAAAGAGGACATTCCACCGTTAGAAATAACATTAATAACTTTATCATGCTACCATTCCAACCTTCTATCAGTTAGAAAATTGCACGGTTAGTGTAGAAGTTTTCAAGTCTTTTCTCTCCTATCAATATAAAAAATGGTTCGATTCTTATAGATTCCATTTATGACTCCAGTTCTTCGGCAATTTACAACACATTTTTTCACTGTGGTTTGAGATATATTGGCCAAACTAAATTTCGCTTCAGAGACTTAAGTCCAAAAAGGCGAAATTAACAGGTTTTCAGTAGATGATCATAGCTCGAAATTTAATCATACTTTTAATTTTGGGACTGCAATTGGGTTTTCTTGAAACTTTTCACATTCACAAATATTTATCTTATTTATTTACTCACTTCAATTTATCTTATTTATTCAAATTCAGTCCTTTCTAACGCTTTTAAAATTCGATTAATTTAATATTTAATTTAATTTAATATTTCAATTTTCGTTACTATTTCTACCACTATCTGCGTTACCTGCTCCTTTGCTTTTCTCCTTCTGGATACAAATCTTTCCCTTAGTTGCAGATTTTTTTGCCCCTGGTGAAGAGGGACCTATATTTGTTTACCCTCGAAATCAATAGAGTCTTACTCAAAACCTGCGCCAAACAGAAGGTTATTGCTTTGCCTAATATAAGTAATATTTATTTATGAAATAAGATTTAATATCTTAAATGCACCAATTATGATATATTTATAAATTTATTTATGAAATAAGATTTATTATGAAATTTATTTGAAATAAGATTATTTATGAAATTTATTTATGAAATAAGATTTAATATCTTAATGCACCAATTATGATATTATTTATAAATTTATTTATTGAAATAAGATTTATTTATGAAATTTATTTATGAAATAAGATTTTAATATCTTAAATGCACCAATTATGATATTATTTATAAATTTATTTATGAAATTAAGATTTATTTATGAAATTTATTTATGAAATAAGATTTAATATCTTAAATGCACCAATTATGATATTATTTATAAATTTATTTATGAAATAAGATTTATTATGAAATTTATTTATGAAATAAGATTTAATATCTTAAATGCACCAATTATGATATTATTTATAAATTATTATTGATAAATTTATTTATGAAATAAGAAATTTATTTATGAAATAAGATTTAATATCTTAAATGCACCAATTATGATATTATTTATAAATTTATTTATGAAATAAGATTTATTTATGAAATTTATTTATGAATTAAGATTTAATATCTTAAAATGCACCAATTATGATATTATTTATAAATTTATTTATGAAATAAGATTTTATTTATGAAATTTATTTATGAAATAAGATTTAATATCTTAAATGCACCAATTATGATATTATTTATAAATTTATTTATGAAATAAGATTTTTATGAAATTTATTTATGAATTAAGATTAGATTAATATCTTAAATGCACCAATTATGATATTATTTATAAATTTATTTATGAAATAAGATTTATTTATGAAATTTATTTATGAAATAAGATTTAATATCTTAAATGCACCAATTATGATATTATTTATAAATTTATTTATGAAATAAGATTTATTTATGAAATTTATTTATGAAATAAGATTTAATATCTTAAATGCACCAATTATGATATTATTTATAAATTTATTTATGAAATAAGATTTATTTATGAAATTTATTTATGAAATAAGATTTAATATCTTAAATGCACCAATTATGATATTATTTATAAATTATTTATGAAATAAGATTATTTATGAATTTATTTATGAAATAAGATTTAATATCTTAAATGCACCAATTATGATATTATTTATAAATTTCTCAGGCCTGTAAAATTAATCTTGCTGGTAATAAAGACTGTTTGAAAAATTAGTTATGAACTCTTATGTGACAAATGTTTTTAGATATCTTCCTAAAAGTAAAAGTAACTGTTTCATACATCACATGGTTAGGTTATTTCACATGAAAAACTCAAAATTAATTATAAGGAAAATGAATTAATTAAGTAACTGTAAAAGTAACTGTTTCATACATCACATGGTTAGGTTATTTCACATGAAAAACTCAAAATTAATTATAAGGAAAATGAATTAATTAAGTATTTCTTTTTCTGTGGAGTAATTATGTGACGTGAACAACTAAGTTTCTTTCTCATGTGTCATTTTTTAAATTTACCAAATATTTAAATTCAAAAAAATAATTTACCTCTCATTAAAATTTTGATCAAATGAACATAAAAGTTTGCAGTTTCAAGGAAAAGAAACATTTTTCAAATAATAAAGAATATGAATTTCGCATCCTTAAGAACTAACTTTAAAATGAGTTATAAGCATGCTACAGATTTTTTGGGGGGTGACAACATTTAGTACAGTGTCTCTTTTATAACAATTCACAAATTATATATAAAACTAAAATCTTAATACAGTAGATTTTGAATATAAACGTATTTAAAAAATAACACAACTATTTAAAAATATATTTAATTTATTTATTTTTAAACTTCTGATTTTATGTTGCTGAAGACAATGCATTAATAATAGCGGAGTTACGTGCACTGAATATGGCATAGATAAGCAAGATCAGAAAGTTTGAGGGTGTCACTGGAATAAATTCCTTATAAAATACCTAAAATATGTTCATATTAGTCTTATCACTATGCAATACTCATATGACACTAAACGAATGCCCAAAATACAAGCAGAATATACCGTTCGAAAAATACAAAATTTCAACAGATTATCATGTTTAATAGGAGATATACTAGAACAGTAAACAAAAAACATTTTCATAGATTTTTAAGTGGTAATGAAGGAAAAGTAATATGAAAAACGTTACATTTTGTCTCAGTATTTTCTAAAATTTATTTCGTGGGTTAAATAGCTATATTAGGTTATTTTATTGTGTGGCAGACCCGCATGTTAAAGAACCCTACATTGTTTTCGTCCCACTGAGAGATAGGAATGACTTTAAAAGTGCTAACTCAAATGTGTTTGAAAGTACAGAAAAAGGTCCCGTTTGGAAAAAGTTGTGTCACTAACCTTTGACATTTTTTTCGGCGTCCGCATTAGGCGCTGTCTGTCCCAGAGACGATGTGTTCTCAGCGGTGAGCAGAATCCATCCTTCGGACCACTTCCATCCACAGGTCTGGTCCGTGAACTCGCATTCGAAAGACAACACCGTAGTCGCTAGAAAAACTTCCAGGACTAGGATGACAGCAAATCGCAACATGTCCGGCGATAACACCACGCGGGAATAGTTGAGATTCAGCTTCAATTTGAGGAATTATGGACCCGAATCACGACGCTGCTGGTGCAACAACAGCCATCCTGTGCCATCTCCGGCATCCCGGTGATGTCAGTTCGTCGTCACGGCAACCGCTGGGGGGATACGGCTAGCATGCAGTGAAACTAAGCGCGCTTTACTGCTCTAACAGCTCGTCCTCCGCTCTTTATAATGATCTCTCACAGGTCCTCCATATTAGAAAACATAAAGGAAATTTGCACCAAATGCAATAAGGGCGAACGTGTTCTGTCCGCAGGCTCGCAGCGTTTGTCTCGGGGGCGGAGGCATCCCGATACTGCTTGTTTGTAGCCGATTTCTCCAGCTATTCCGGGAGTCAAGGAAAGAGGATGGAGTTGCGACGCATCGCGGCTAGGTGGCGCTGCAGCTGTGCAGCAAATGAAGGCACGCTGCCAAAGTTGAACCCTGAGTAAGATGAAATTTGTCAGAATGTGTGCATTTTCAGCGAAGAGCTGCTTCTTCGCTCTGGTAAATGGCTTAGCAATACATGTAGAAACATTAACTCACTTTGTAGCATGCGTTCAGATGGAAGGTAATAACAGATATGTAGCAAAAACAAATCTGTGTCAGCCAGCCGTTTCGTTCTTTGCAATCATTCATTGATTTGTTTCTAGTCGGCTTCAAAAGTCTTTAATTGTTCCAATTTTAAAATTCATTTATATTTGATGTCTAATTTAATTTCATTAATATAGCTGCTATAATTGTTTGCATAAAAAGTAAGAGAACTGAAAGGAAGATGAATTTTTGAATTTAGCAAAATCTTTTCGAATAGAAGATTCTTTTTTAAATTAAAAATACTAGAGGTAGAATGAACCCAATATTTTCATGAATCCAAATCCGTAAAGGTTCCCAAACCTATCGAATCCTTAGTAATATAATAAATCAAAAATATATTAAATATTAAAAGTTTATAATTAAAACAAAATTTGAAATCCGCGTTTAATGAAAAACATTTTTAAGAACATAATTTTGTGTTTAGTAAGAAAACAGAAATGAAATTTAATAAATGAGGTACAAAACCTCTTTGAAGTATCAGCCTTTGTTTGTATGAAGTTTTTTTATTTTTCCAGATTCAAATAAAATCAAAGATTAAAGTATGACTTGGTTTATTTTAGTACTGCAAATTACACAAGGGCTATCTGCTTAAGAGGAGGGATGCCTTCGCGGAGGACTTTTTAAGGCAAACTGGCTTATATGCACGTTACACATGGAGAAAACCACGAAACCGCTTATGCAGCCAGCCCGTTCGCCTGGAATCAAACCCGGGTCGGAACTACTAGAGTCCAATGACTTTACCGCTCGGCCACTGGTAGCCCTTTGAAACATTAAAGCAAGTGTAGAAGGAGAATTATTATTTCAAGAGTCAATATATATAAACAACATATTATAGAACACTATTTATTTCCAGAAAACTGAGAAAAATCAAGTACCTCTTATTTTACAAGTTGATAAAAGCCCACTTGCAACACTTAGGGCACTTAGAAAGCTGATCTGATGATCCACGTGCTACTGAAATTGCAAGCTACTGAATCTTGAGTGCCACACACTGAATTTCCTGTTGAGAGTTTAACGTTCCGTGTTTTATATTTAGGCATTTTGAAATAATATCCCTCGCCTACAATAGCTTTGATCTAAAATACGCTAAGAAAATTGTATTTTGTCAAATATTATATTAAAAAAATTAACTTCAACTTTCGAAAGTTTTAATTTGTTAAATATTTACCTCATTTGTAAAGTTCCATTTGTATTGTCTGAGAAATTATAGGTCTTTTTTTTTTAATTGAATTTTAAAATTCATTTTCAATTAAACGCAGTTTTCAAATTTTGCTTTTAATTCATTGCTTTTAATACTAAGCATCTTTTTATTTTACCTTTTAATTCTTATTTTCATGTGAAGGGTTTCAGAGATTTGAGATGCAAAAATTTCGAAAGATTCGAGAATGTTTTAGAATGAGAATTAGATTCGAAACTATTTAGGACAGCTTTTTCCAGTCTGTAATCCATGCAAATCGAAAGGTCCTCGAAGCCTGTCCTGGTGATCTTCCTAGAGTTTCAAAAACGACACAAAATATCAAGCTAATACCACACTGTAGCAGGAAATGTTCAAAGTTTGGAAACTACACATGGCAATCGTCTATTATCTCTTCACCCAAGACTAACACTTTATGAAATTTATTATTGGCTACCCTACCTACCGATATACCATTCTACTGAAAGCAACAAAAGAGGGATTTAAAACAGTATAACTAGGGTGTTCCTTACCAGCATACATCAAAACACAAAACAACTATGCAAGAATCGGCAAGCTCATCCATGTTATTGATGTGTGTACAAACATTTATTTAATTCTTAATAAATGAGGTAAAGATTATCCAAACTCCTGAGTTCTTAAAAACAAGTATAAAATTTTCTTCTAGCAATTTAATTACTTAATCCAGTATAAAATTAAATGAATTTTAATTAACTGTGTTTTATAAATATAAATATAATGCTGGTAGTAAAACATATGCTTGAAAACTGTTTTCGAAGCTAGGTAACAGTAAGGTCTTCCGCAGAATATTCTAATTTATAAAAGTGGTCCTCCATTGAAAAAAGTTTAAGAAACGCTGATTTAAGATACCCGCCCTTCTAAAAACGAAGGTTTCGGTTGGATGTCGATAAAGCCAATCTTTCCAAAGTTTTGAGTTAAAGCCTTTTTAAAACATGAATAGAAAGATTCGAAGGACGGAAAATGCGCTAAGATCCAAATTTCGAATATCGAATATTTTTCAAGATTCGTAGAATTCAAATATCCCGTCCCTGTTATTTATTAACTCTTCCTCCGTGAATGGTTTGACTATATTTAATCCTAATTAGAACCAAATGTCGTTCAACGTTGAAACATGCTGAAAGTACTTTATGTCCACCGGTGTCAAATATCGCACCAACATTTAATTTGTTATGCAGCTGAAAACAAGCACATCTGTCTCTTTAGAATTTTCTGTCATTAATCTTTAGTTACTTCAAATAAATCCTAAAACTACTACTTTGTTATGTATATTATTTTCCAAAAAAGTGATTATTTACAATAGGATACTTATTTTTATATCTTTATTTTATATTTAATATCTGAGTTCGCTAAAAAAATCTCGATAAAAAAGGAGTCGCGACTGAAAAAAGTTTAAGAAGTGCTGGTGTATGGTATAAGTTGTTGTTGTTACTTGTCAGTGGCAAGTGGCAAGGAGTAGAAGATTACGTCTGTCGTTGGCCAGAGCCTTGTGCACTATATTGGGTGGCAGTATTACTAGCGGATCCAAGGGCTCCCACCCCTCCTTCCCTGTCACCAACTTCTCCAGAGGACTTTCGGTTTGTCGCATATTTTGAGTGGCTCCAAGCCACACAGACACTATACACTTACAAATATCCATGCCTTCTCCGGATTCGAACTCGGGGCATTCGATATAGCACTCAGCGTCGCTAACCACTTAATAGCATTTCTTGGTGATTAATTTAAATGCAGAATGCAGTTAAGGAATAAAGAACATATTCTAAGACATTTTTCTTCTTCCTTACCATGTTCCTTGTGATGTAACTAAGAAGCACATCCGGCTGGCAACCAGAAGGTCTGGAGTTCGAATGCCACCGAGGGCATTTCTAAGATTTTATGTCTTTATATCTCATGCTCCAAATAAATGCCTAATCGTTGGTATCGAAGTTAACTTAAGTTCTCTTTCCTCTTTGAATCAGATTTATCTGGGGTACTTCATATACATATCTTTGATCATCAGTTTCCTTATATTTATTTAGTGAAGAAAAGAGAGGGCACTTTAGAGAATTTTTATTTTTGTCTATTTGTTTTATTATGTTTTTTATTTGTCTATTTTAAAAACTGTCGGAGCTGCCTACCAAGTGTTTTATATTTCCATCATGAAACAGAACAAAACTGTAATACATGAATGCTGTGTTAAGTTATAAGAGTGAAATTAAATACGCAATGTCAAATATACTTATGGCAATGAACTTTCATAAAATAAAAATTGAAAAGGAAGGTAGTTTGTCGCACTGAAATGCTGCAAAAGAAAAAATATTTCACCAATTGGGAAACTTTTTTTGCCTGAAATGCATACAATTTTTAGTTGTTTGTTCGAACGTTCTTTCATATAGAATTTTATAAATGTCTTAAATCATTTTAACTAACAATATTAATTAAATCTACTTATAAATGCTTTTACCGTCTTTGAACTGTATTTGACGGCAGTTATGAGTCTACATTACCTGAGTATATTGTATTCCTTATTAACTACAATCAATTCCCGATTAACTGGAGGCGGGTTAAAAGAGCTCTGTCTAAAAAAAAGTTTATTTATTCCGAAAAAGTAAAAATTTATTATCACAAATCATTGGACTATATCAAAACTTTCTATGAAAAATATAAAAATGGGTAGCAGGATAAAAAGTAAACAGATAAAAAAACGATAAAAAATCTGAAAGGTTTCAGATTTTAAATTACGTTCAAAGGGGCGTTTTAACGTTTTGTGTGTTACCTTTATTCAATCTAGGTACCGTTGTTTTATCACAATGCAAGTAACATATATACATTTATGCAAATTTTTCATTATTTAATTTCTTCAAATATAATACAGGGCGATTATATTTGCTGGCAACAGTTTGAAAAGTGAAACGAACATTCAAAGTGATTCGACGCAAAATCGCAAAACGGAAACAATAGTCCCTCAGTGACCCTTTGGACTAAAAATAACATGGAGGTAGGAAGTAGTCCTTTCTTACCTCCACGAAAAATAAGAATTAGTAGGCCGTAGTGTAACAGCAGGCTGGTAGACTACGAGCCCAGTGAGAGCACAAAAAACTTTAACAAACCCTTTTGGAGGATCGTTAAAATCTGAAACCTTTCAGATTTTTTTTATTATTATTTATTTGTTTATTTTGAATACCTCATTTAATTTACAAAACCGAATGAATTTACTTTCTCAATTCAGCTGCTTAAAATGCAAGTAAATTACTTAATAACGCTTTTCTTTTGATCATAATTTGGCTTATTCATCTTTTTTGAGTTTCCTACGCTCAAATTAACTGTGATTCTCGTTTAACCGTCAACATCATTCCGGGTATTAGACTGATGAAATATACGTTGATTTTATAGCTGAAATCAATTAGCTACAAGATTCTAAACTTGAAGTTCCATTGCCATTAGGGAGAGATATTTATATTGCATAGAACTTCAGTTTCAGCCAAGGTGTATAAGCCAATTTTCAATGTACAAACTGAGGAAAAAATAAAAAAATATTTTAACAACTTTCATAAATGTTAAGCTGGGAATGCAAAATCAATATGATTTTTAGGTAATTATTTTTGGATGAAAAACGAAACATCCTTTTTTTAATATCTGGCCAAATGTTTTTTTTTTTTTTTTTTTTTTTTTTTTTTTTTTTCGTTCGCATCGTAAAGACAATTCAATTCGAGAACTTAAAATCGAC